GATGTTCTCAGAATAAAATGCACAGGGCAGGGATAGTGTTGCTTGCCAGTAAATCCAGCACTCAGGAGGCGAAGGCAGGAAGATCACAGGTTCAAACCCAACCTGAGCTGCATATGGAGAGACCCTGTCAGTAACAACCAAAATGGAGCAAACCCCATGATTCTAACAGGCTCATGTGTGACAGAATGTCCCACCCCATTCCCAAGGCAAGTTAATGAAAAGGAGACACCCCGTATTTGCCCATTTTCCTAGTTAGGAATAAAACATTGCTGTGAAGACACATTACAACCATGGCAACTCTTACAAAGGAAAACATTCAGTTGGGGCTGGCTTACAGTTTCAGAGATTCAGTCCATTATCAAACTGGGGAGCATGGAGGCGTGCAGGCAGACATGGTGCTGGAGAAGGAGCTGAGAGTTGTACGACTTGATCTGCAGGCAGCAGGAAAAGAGCATGTGCCACTGAGCCCGGGCCAAAGGCATCTGAGACCTCAAAACCCACCCTCCAGTGACACACTTCCTCCAACAAGACCACACCTTCTAATAGTGCCACTCCCTGTGGGCCAAACATTCTAACACAACAGTCTATCTGCGGGGGCCATTCCTATCCAAACCACCATGCCTACGATATTCATGAAGAATAAAGATTAGAACACGGAGGACAGTTGAGATGACTCAGGGGTTCAGAGCATCTGTTGCTCTTCCACAGGGCCCAAGTTTGAGTCCCAGCACCCACCGAGTATCTCAGAACTGCCTTTAATTCCACTTAAGGTGATCCAAAGCCCTTCTCTGGCCTCTGCAGGCACCAAGTGTGCATTTAGTGTACTGACATTTGTGCACATGAAACATCCATACACATACAAAAGAATCCATATAATTTAAAACATTTTTCCTTTAATTAATTGAAATGTTCATCTGCGGCAGGTCTTTTTTTTTGTATGTTTGTTTGTTTTTTGCTTTTCAAAACAGGGTTTCTCTGTAGTTTTGGAGCCTGTCCTGGAACTCACTCTATAGACCAGGCTGGCCTCGAATTCACAGATCTGCCTGCCTCTGCCTCCCAAGTGCTGAGATTAAAGGTGTGCACCACCACCACCATTGGCTTGAGCCAGGTTTTCTTAATGGACACTTAGGAATGAACATCAGATGCAGCTTTCCTAATTATTATTAGTGTGCATGCATGCACGCGTATGTGTGTATGTGTGTGTGTGTGTGTGTAGGGCATGTCGGGCATGTGGGCAGCCCACATGTACAGAGGACAATGTTGTAGAGTTAATTCTCTCCTTCTGCTTTTGTTTGAATTCTTTGGTCTTCCAGCACATCATACTATATTAGGTATGTTGAGTCCTTTTTGTTTGTTCGTTTGTTTTGAGGGAGTACAACCCTTGCTGTCCTGGAACTCATACGCAAAAATAAAAATAAATAAATCTTAAAAAAAGAAACAAAAACAACTGGAAGATCTTACATCTTTATCTTTAGTGGGGTAAAGACTGACAAATTTTTGTGGGGTTTTATTTTCCACATTCTTGCTGGGCATGTTACTTCTGGAAAATGGCACATGTTTTTTAACACATTACTTAGAACTAGGATTTTTACAAATATCTAGATATTAAAGGCCCTTTATCATCTAAATTATTGTGTGTGTGTGTGTATGTTCATGCGTGTGCACTATTCAAGCTGCCATTGGATTCTGTGGAGGCTTTGTGACTGAACCCAGAGTGAGCAGTGTTTCTGAGGGGCAGGGTGGGGGTGGGGTGGGGGAGGTTAGAGCTTCCTGTCAAGGACAGTTAATTTTAATTTTTCCTCCGAGCTCAACCTCAAAGTGAGGCTGATTGCTACTCAGCGAGACAGGCTGTGTTAGTGGAGGCTTTAATTGAGTACAGATCTGTGTCCCAAAAGCTAACCTTTGTTGTATACATATTTTGGGACAAGAAAGAAAATGAAAACCAGGCCTTTTGAAGGCAAATGATGAAAGCAGAATTTGTTCTACATCCAGGATGCCAGCACCAAGGGCCAGCTGGGGGAGCTCCATGGAACCCCAACTTCCCACACAGCACCTCCCCCCCTACACACACACACACACACACACACACACACAATTTCTGAGACAGAATCTCACTATGTAGTCCTAGCTGATCTGAAACTCACTATTTAGACCAGGCTGGCCACAAAATCACCTGCCTCTTCCTCCCAAATTAGCACTAAAGGCATGTGCCACCAAACTGAGTCCCCGTTCTTTTGTTTCTTTCAGACAGGGCCTCACTCTAGTCCAGGCTGGCCTGGAACTTATAATGCTCCCCCTGCCTCAGTCACCCAAGTGCTGGGATTAAAGACGTGAGCTATCATACCCGACAGTACACACAGACAGCAGCTCTAATAGGCTCTTCGGAAAATCTCTCCATAAGCCCAATGCCTGTATAAAAGCCTACTAGTGTCCTGTAATGGGGACAAGGACACTAAGGAGGGTGCAGGCACCCTGGCAGAGGACTGGGCATGTGTTTCTGTTGTGAGGCTCCCCCTGGCCTAGACTGTTGGTCCTTGCTTCTGTTCATATCGTTTTGTCCGTGGCCTTACCATGGGTAATGACTTACTATGTGACCTTGACACACCTGGGAAGAGGACTCTCAATTGAAACATTGCCTCCATTAGCCTGGCCTGTGGGAGTATTTTCCTGATTTCCAATTGATAGGAAAGTATCCCTATATATAAGGAAAGTATCCCTATGTATAAGAAAAGCATCCCTGTACATAAGAAAAGCATCCCTGTACATAAGAAAAGCATCCCTGTACATAAGGAAAGCATCCCCATATATAAGTATCCCCATACATAAGGAAAGCATCCCTGTACATAAGGAAAGCATCCCTGTACATAAGGAAAGCATCCCTGTACATAAGGAAAGCATCCCTGTACATAAGGAAAGCATCCCCATATATAAGTATCCCCATACATAAGGAAAGCATCCCCATACATAAGGAAAGCATCCCCATATATAAGGAAAGCATCCCTGTACATAAGGAAAGCATCCCTGTACATAAGGAAAGCATCCCTGTACATAAGGAAAGCATCCCTGTACATAAGGAAAGCATCCCCATATATAAGTATCCCCATACATAAGGAAAGCATCCCCATACATAAGGAAAGCATCCCTGTACATAAGGAAAGCATCCCTGTACATAAGGAAAGCATCCCCATATATAAGGAAAGCATCCCCATACATAAGGAAAGCATCCCCATACATAAGGAAAGCATCCCCATATATAAGGAAAGCATCCCTGTACATAAGGAAAGCAGCTTCCGGTGAGCCTGGGACTCCTCCACCGTCTCTGCCTTAGTTCTTGTCTCAGATTCCTGTCTAGGCTCCGGCATCCCTTGACAATGGGTTGTAACCTGTAAACTCAAATAAACCCTTTCTTCACCAGGTTGCTTGTGATAATGGTATTCTGATAATGGCAACAGATCAACTTAGAACAGCCTGGGTCTTCCGAGGAAGCATAACGCCACTCTGGGGCTGTGGAGTCAGTGTCGGACCTCTTGTCCCCCTTCTCTGAGCAGCAGGCTGGGCTCTGTGCTATTGAAGGGCGTGTCTTCTTAAGCGAGACTCTACCACTCCCTTCAAACACTGACTGAAGCTCTCTGTGACCCCAAAACTGATCCTGACACCCAAGCACTTCTAAGACCGAAGCCTAAAAAGCCTAAGCTCCCTCCAAATCTTCCTCTCCTCCTCCCTCCACCTCCACCATCCACTCGGGTTCCCCCTCCTCTCCTCTGTCTCTGGTCCCTCCCTCTTCCTCTCGCCATTCCCAGTGAGTTGCTGAGACATCGCGGCAGGCCGCACCCTCCTCTTACAGACCAGCAGGCCTTCCTTCCTCCTGTCTTCGCCCGTCCACACACAGCACCCACACTGATCGTTAAGCAAGGCCACGCCCTTTCTTAAACCACCTGTGGCCACAGTCATCAACGCCTCTTCTCTGTGTCCTTCACGGCCCGCCCTGCCCCCACCCTGCCCCCATCTCTTCCTAGTCCCACTGGTTCCTCTTGCCCAGTCTGTTTCCCGCCTTACTCCAAGAGGTGTCTGCCAAGTACCCTTCCGAATGCAGTCTCAAGGCCATGCTGTGTGGTGCCAGGCGGCCGCAGCATCTCCACGGCTCCATCTCAACCGCTCTGTTGGTCACTTGTTATCTGCTATTCCTATTAGAGCCGAAGTTTCCGGGAGACCCTGGCTTGGTCAGCCTGTTCCCTTCCTTACCATCAGCACTTCAAAGAGTCTCCGTCATTACTTGGGGATGATTGTCTCCACGCCTTAGTTTGACACGCCTGTCTCGCTGCCCTCTTCCTCTCCTCATTAACTGTTGACCCTTGTAGCAAACACGCGCTCACCCTTGTAGGCAGCCCCCCACAGCCCCCCAACACTCGTTGCTTGCTCTGACACTCTGCCTAGCTCTGTTCTCAGGCTGACTTCCTCTAAGTGACTTAGTTTTGTGGCTGAAAACCAAGACTCCAACCTGGAGAAAGTAGGTCTTCAAAACAGTGCAAACCCAGCTAGGCAAAAGGTTCAACAAAGCATTCTGTCCCCATCCAAATGGTGTCCTCCAACCCTGTCAGCATCAATTCAAGAACTTTATCCCGACCCAACGAAATCCTCCCACAGGGTTGAAGTTGGATTGAAGTCACTCTTCCCAGCTGCACCCCCCCAACCCATAAATGTTTGGAGGCTTCAGAGTAGAGGCCTCATTTATTTATTTATTTATTCCAGTTGCCTCTGGGGGAGATCTGGCAGATCCAGCCCCAGGGCCTGCAGGATTAGGTGAATGATCCAAAGTGAAAGGGGCAAACGCCCAGCCCGCAGCGGCTCCTGGGAATTGCGTTCTCATAGGTCAACGAGCAAACGGTGCCCAGTGGCCTGGCCTGAGGCTCAGGAAGAGAGACGCTTGCACCGGGTGCTCCGAAGAAGGCACCACTCGAAGCACGTGGCGTGCACCGCCTGACGCTTCTCCCTGTCCGCAGGGCCACAGCGCTGGACCGCTACGGGCTGCAGAAGGCGGGATTCACGCACGTGCTGAACGCCGCACACGGCCGCTGGAATGTGGACACCGGGCCCGACTACTACCGCGACATGGCCATCGAGTACCACGGCGTCGAGGCTGACGACGTGCCCACCTTCGACCTCAGCGTCTTCTTCCACTCGGCGGCCGCCTTCATCCACTCGGCGCTCCGAGACGACCACAGTAAGAGACACCCCCCTCCCCGGCTCCGGCCAGGCCTCACGCCCCGCCCCTCCCAGGCTGAGGCTCCGCCCCAAGCCCGAGGCCCCGCCCCCGCCCAGCCAGCCGGAAGGCATACCCGCACCCCTGCCTCCCAGGAGCAGCTCCTGCTAGGAAGCAGCCTCACTCCTGCCAAGCCCGGTCCTGCCCCCAGCGTGGGAAGCAGGATCTACAAGTGGTTTTCAAACCTGGTGCCCTGGGGCTGGGGATTGTTGGCAGGGATTGGCTGGGCTAACTGCCCTACCACTTAGGTTGCTTGTGGGGTTGAAAGGAAAGGGGGCGGTTTACACTGCAGGGCTTTTGGTGTGTCTTTGTCTCCGAAGGAACGGCCATCTTTTAAAAAGGCCTGGGTGGTCTAGGAGTCCTCACACCTGGAGCTGTAGCCAAAATGCTAATCACGCGTGGGCCCAAACTTTACTAGAGCCAAAGGCTTCAATGCCAGAAAACTTTTAAGGAGCTGGCTTGCTCAGGAGCCCATGAGCAGGCTTGAAAAACTTGTGCTAACCACGCAAACCCACGGTCTGCCCCCAGACACACACACCCTTCAGAAGCTGAGGACTCTGTGTAAACTGGAGTAGGGGGCTGGGAGTTGCAACAACAGTGTCCCAGTTTCCCAGTGTCACTTACCCATCTTTTAAGGCAAAGTACTTGTCCTTTAAATGCGGTTCTGGCTGCAAGGAAAGCTGCCAGACTATTCTGGAGACAAGGGCACAGTTTGGATTTGCACACTAAGTAAGACGATATGTAGTTACCGCTGCTGGTTACAACCTTCAGCACATTCTCCAGAGGCCAAAGGGACATCACCTCCTTAGTGGGTGCTCTGACTCCAGCCTGGCATGCCGCACCCCTGTGTGAGTCATCACAAAACTCGGGGCTCCAGTTACCGAAAAGAAGCCTTGCTTGCCACAAGGCTCGCTGACCGACTGACCTGCTTCAGGAACTTGCAACCTGGGGCTAGGCCTAGGCCAAGCCTGCCAGACAGGGAGCCTTGGCGGCAGCAGTGACTCCACAGCCAGCCATGGCCTCCCACAAAATTTGACATCATCTTGGATCAGAAGATGAAAAACACTGGAAGAGCCAAGGTGCATGAATTAGAGGGGTGTACCATTCCTGACCTGCCCTCTTATGATTCTGTTTATGGATGTCTTTTGTATTCTGCACATTCTGAGTTCCCACACAGGATCAAAAAAGCAACGGGACTCTGATTCGTCACCATGAGGTAAAGTTCACCTCATGGTACTCGAAGGTAACTGGAAACATATTGGTAGTGGTAATGGAAGGGGCCTGCCAGGCTTTGGCGAAGACAAGGCCAGGCTCAGCTTCTCATCACCAAACTCAGTAATGGAGTAATTCCTCCAGTGATGAGAACGCTTACCCTGAACAGTCCTGACGAGGCGCAGCAGCGGCATACGCAGACCACTTGGAACCCGGAGCGCAGGAGGTCAGCCGATTCACTAGATAGAGAGGCTGTGCGCCACCAAGCGCGAAACTCTGCCAGCGCGTGCACCAGCATCGTAAAGTTCCCAGCCTAAAAGAAAAAGGAGGAGAGAGGGAAAAAGACATCCCGACTTGGAACTTAGACGACACACTGACGTGAAAGCTTGTTTTAGGATCCCAGCACACCGTTTGAGAAGCTGCCTTGCTGCCAAACTGGGAAAAGATTTGGCCTCTGGAGTGAGATGTCCTAGGGCTGCTGGCCAGATCACATGAGCCAGAGAGCAAAGGCTGGTGTTAGACCGGGTGCATGAAAACACCCAGTGAAAGGAAGGGTCTAGAGGAAGAGGCTACACAGAAGTCAGAGAGCTCACAGGGGACAAGGATGGGTGACGTGTGACTGGTTTTTTTTTGTTTTTGGTTTTTTTTTTTTTTTTTTTTTGGTTTTTCGAGACAGGGTTTCTCTGTATTGTTTTGGAGGCTGTCCTGGAACTCCCCTTGGTAGACCAGGCTGGCCTTGAACTCCCAAGAGATCCGCCTGCCTCTGCCTCCCAAGTGCTGGGATTAAAGGCATGTGCCACCAACGCCCTGCGACGTGTGACTGCTAACAAGCCCATGGGTGTTAGAGAGCAGAGGACATCACTGACCATGGGGGCGGGGCTGACTTTGCATGTCTAAATACTTCCCCAGGCCGGGGCCTGAAATGCCAGAGGAGGTACAGGGTGAAGAAGATGGTGTGTCTCCTTGACAGGGGTGGGGTGGGGTGGGTGGGAGGGGGGGAACACCACACGGGACACGGGACAGCTGCTCTTCAGCCCCCACCCGTGTTTCTGGTGAGAATCGAAGCCAGTGTGGCGGAACTTCCGAGTTTTCAGGGAAAACGTCCAGTGTGGGTCTTACTGTGGCACTGCTCACATTTCAAGTGCCAGCAGAGGTCAAAGTGTCTCAATCACCTGTCTTTCTGCTTGTCACCTGTGTCCTGAGTGGTCCGAATAACAAAAGAGAATGCCTGTTAGCTCAGCTCCAGCCTTGCCTCGGACTCTAGAAGAGCATGGCAGGTGTGTGGCCTGTCTGCCACACGCAGGGGGTGGCCTGATAATGTCTAGTCACGCTCTGGAAAAACAGAGGGACGCTGCTGTGGCGTTTCCAAGCCAAGCCTGGTCGCAGGTTTCCTGTTACACTCTTGATGTAAGAGGTGTTGATGGACAGTCTGGCCCAAAGGTCAGTCAGTCTTTCTCTTTCCTCTCGTCTTTCTTGTGGTTTGCTGGTGAGTCCCAACCCAGAATACACACCACCCATACCCAACCCTCACTGCCAGTTATGTTCACACTTCTTGCTATTTTGAACCTGTTTTTTGTTTTTGTTTTTTGGAGACAGGGTTTCTCTGTATTGCTCTGGAGGCTGTCCTGAAACTCACTCTGTAGTCCAGGCTGGCCTCGAACTCACAGAGATCCGCCTGTCTCTGCCTCCCAAGCAGGTCACCTACGAGTCAACTTTGAACTAGAAAATACTGGCACCAAAGCACTCCCTACCTCGGCACCCTGCTCGGGCTGGTGGCACTGTCACAGGGCCTCCTGGTTTCTTGAAGTTCAGGCAAGGACTGGGAACAGGCCTCCCGGGCTACCCCAGTTTCCTTCACCAACAGTGGGCCTCAGCCGTGGTACAGAGCCCCAGAGCCCAGAGAGAGAACAGGACCCTGAGGTTCTGGGGACAGGAAGGTGGTGGAGCCCAGGGGCACCTGAGACCTCCAGAGAACACTGTGGTCTTGCCCTAGGGGGGCTGTCTCTTTCTCTGGGCTGACAGCATTAATGAGAACCACCTTTGGCTCCGCGAGCTCCAGCCAGAGCTGAGCCTCCCCTTCTTCCTTCCCAAGCCTGTCCGTCTTCCTCCCCGGTCTGCTTCCTCTCTGCCTTCTCCCTACAGACGTGGGGCTCCTCAAACAAACGTGTATGGGCTTCAGCTTTCATCTGTTATGACAGGAGAGGAAGGACCACACTAGTCATCAGCAGAGCTGGCCGGCGACCAGGCAGCCTCTTTCTGGAACTCTCCATTGGGTAGATGGAACGCTCCGTCTGAGGAGGTCGATAGATGCTCATCTGCTCTTGTGCTCACACTGGATGAGAATGAGGCGTGGGGCCTCCTAAACGACACAGTAACAAAGGGGGCTGCCTCCCGCCCTCCTCCTGAACGAGCAGACAGAAAGGCACTAACTGGAGGACACCTCTCTGCCCGCCCCCCCTGTGGTCCTTGCAACTGTTCATGGGGCCCAGGTCTGTCCGTCCCACATGGAGTGAGAATAGGAAAACTGAGGTGCCCACTCTGCTGGGGGTGGGGGAGGCTTGCCTTTCTTATGTCGTCTTGGCTTCTGGCCTTTGTCGTTGTCCTGGGTTGGGTCCCTTGAGGAAGGGAGAGGTAAAAAGTGCAGAAACTGTCCACAGGCAACTTGCTGTTTTATCTCTCCAGGATGAGGGGCAGGAAGACAGACAGCTCTGTGCTTATGGAGCTCCAGAGAGCTGAACCTCAGTAGAGAGTCCCACAGCCATAGGAAACAGCCACCACCGAGGGAGAGCAGAGGGCCAAACCTCAGAGCCTAGGGGCAGTGAGGGCCTCAAACACATTTTGCATTAAGCTGCTTCTTGTGGCATTGGCCTTGTGGCTAGACATCTGGCTAGACATTTCGCTTTCTGAACCTGTTCTCCGTCTGCAAAGCAGGGACAAGGATAATGAGCTGTAAGTCAAAGCTGGAATGAGACCCGGTCAGTGGGTGGACCGGGTGGGCTCTAGAGCGCCACCAAGTGGAGACCTGCAGGACTTGGCCTCTTGTGCATCATGGTTGTGGATATGGGTGGTGTTGGCCTGAATAGCATCAGGACCACTGGTCTCACAGTTTTAGGTTTCAGAACATTTTTATACTCTTAAAAATCAGCGAAGACTTCAAAGATTTTCTGTGTGTAAGTAATAATCAAAGCTTACTCCACTGAAAATAAGAACTGAAACATTTCAAATATTAATGAAAAGTATGGACTGGAGTCCTCTGGCACCCTGTAACCTGAGCATCATAGCTCATACTTGTGATCCCAGTACTGAAGGTAGAAAGAAGCAGGAGGATCAGAAGTTCAAGGCCACTCTCAGCTATGTAGGGAGTACAAGGCCAGCCTGGGGTACATGAAACCCTGTCTTAGAAACAAAAACAAACCCACTGGTGAGCCTTGTACATTTTTTTTGTTTTGTTTTTGTTTTTTTTTTTTTCCGAGACAGGGTTTCTCTGTATTGTTTAGGAGGCTGTCGGTCCAGCCTGGCCTCGAACTCACAGAGATCCGCCTGCCTCTGCCTCCCGAGTGCTGGGATTAAAGGCGTGCGCCACCACCACCTGGCGAGCCTTGTACTTTGATGGTTCCTTTGCCATAATTCTGTAACTCTACAGGTCACAAGTTCTATATTTGGCATTTGAAAATTGCGGTTCATCAAATTACATGGGCCTTTTAAATGCCCTGCCTTCCAGTGTACATTATTGACCCTTGAAAGGCAAGTTTGTTCATCTCACGCAGCCCCATCTCTTTTATTTTTCTTGGTTTGGTTGGTTATTGAGAAAGGGTTGGTTTTTTGTTTTTAAAGATTTATTTATTACTGTGTATACAGCTTTCTGCCTGCATGTATTCATGCAAGCCAGAAGAGGGCACTAGATCTCATTACAGATGGTTGTGAGCCACCATGTGGTTGCTGGGAATTGAACTCAGAACCTCTGGAAGAGCAACCCAGTGCTCTTAACCTCTGAGCCATGTCTCCAGCCCCCATAGCCCAGGTTTGTAATGTGAGGTTCTTTGTCCTGTCAGGTCCTGCAGCCACCTCAAACCCAAATAAACACACAGAAGCTATATTAATTATTAAATGTTGGCCAATGACTAGGGCTTCTTATTAGCTAGCTCTGTCTTCATTATTAACCCATTAGTATCAATCTGTGTATTGCTACGAGGCTGTGGCTTACCCAGTAATGCCCGGGCATGGTGTTACTCCTGTGGCAGCATCGAGACTCCGTGTGGTAGGCTTACTCTGCCTGACTTCCCCAGAATTCTCCTTCTGTCCCAGACCTTCCTATCCTCCTGCCTCATTGGCTGAACAGTTTTATTCATTAACCAATAAGAGAAACATATATACAGGAGAACATTCGCCATCATAGGTTGGCCCTGAACTTGCAATAATCCTCCTGCCTCTGCCTCCTGTGTGCTGGAATTAGAGGTATACAACACCCTACAACACCCACTCGAATGGGAGACTCTTCAAATATTAGGAAACCCAGTATTACAGTATATAGAGAGATTTAGAAGTCTAGCTCTTGCCTGAGTGCCTGTGTTTTTATCCTTGGCAACAAACGCACCATGTTTTCATTGAAATGGCTGCCTTTGTTCACTTTTTAAGAACTTCCACATAGGGGGCTGGAGAGGTAGCCTTAGGTAGCCTAGATAACCAAGCTGTCCCCCAATTCGTAGAAGTCCCCCTGTCTCTGCCTTCTGAGTGCTGGGCCACTACAGACCACCACCATGACCGGGCCTTGCTCATCCACTTCTAAGAAGAGTCCTACCAAACACTTAAGTGTGAATGCCCACTGACAATACTGCTTTTCCTTCAGAGATAAATGTGTTGCAAGAGACAGAAGCTAGGTCCACTGTCCTCCATAACCCTCATGTGCTTCTCCTTGAGCAAGTCAATGTTCACTGCATGCATTCAGCAAGAGGTGTGCTCCAGGGCTGAAATCTGATAAACCTTAATTTTTACTGTTGCATTAGGGATACTCTAGAGTGTGATGCGGTGGACATAGCAGTAACCATTGGCTTAGCTATTACCCGTGACATCCTTCATACTAAGGCACCAGTGCCTTTGTGAATATCACAAGGACAATGTTAGCACAGTCAAAAGAGTCAATTGTATAGCAGAGTATGGTGGTGCATGCCTGTAATCTCAGAACCCTGGAGGCAGGGCAGGAGGACCGGGAGGTTGAAAATATCCTGCGGTACATGGTGGACTCAAGGCCAGCCTTGGATGCATAAGACCCATCTAAAACAAAAGCAAACCTTGCTACAAAAACCCTCCAGAACTAGTGTGGAGACAGGGTTTAGTAAATCATCCAGAACTGGTGTGGAGACAGGGTTTAATTAGTTTTAGTTGTTGGGACATTCATCCTGACAGCACACAGTAAAGCTACTTCTTTGTTTAGCTAGGTGGTGGTGGTGCACGCCTTTAATCCCAGCACTCGGCCAGGCGGATCTCTGTAAGTTTGAGGCCAGCCTGGTCTACATAGTTACACAGAGAAACCCTGTCTCTGAAAAAAAAAAAAAAAAAAAGCAAAAAAGCATAAGCAGCCGGGCGTTGGTGGCGCACGCCTTTAATCCAGCACTCGGGAGGCAGAGGCAGGCGGATCTCTGGGAGTTTGAGACCAGCCTGGACTACCAAGCGAGTTCCAGGACAGCCTCCAAAGCCACAGAGAAACCCTGCCTCGAAAAACCAAAAAACAACAACATAAGCAAATGAACAAAAAACCAAACTGCTTTCACTATTGAAAGCCTGCTGGGCCACGTGACTTTCACTATTGAAAGCCTGCTGGGCCACGTGACTTTTTCCTGAATTGGTTTTATTCACTACTGATCTGATTCTACACCTCCACTCGACAGTTAAGGAAATGAAGGCTTACTTATGAGGCTGAGTGGCTCTGTCATTTGTCACCCACTTGGCAGTTAGTAGCAGGAGTCTGGATCTTATATCTGCAAGTCAGCGGGTTCCCTTGTGTCCTGAGTCCAGACCTCAGGAAGCCTCTGGGGGCTGCGGGAGTTCTGGCATACTCAGTCTAAGCCAGCAGTGTCGCATAGGTGAAAATGGCAGGCACACCTCCTCCCTGCACCACCGTTCTAAAGACGGGATGGGCATTCCAGGGTCTTCCTGGGGTCTCTGGTGGAGTGCAAGCTACTTAAATTGCTTAATCCTGTCACTCGAGGGACTGGAGGCAGGAGAATGTTGAGTTTGAAACCATCCTGGGTTACACAGGGAAACCTTGTCCAAAAAATAAAAGAGTTAAAATAGTAGTTTGGGAATTTTTACTTGCAAGGGCCAAGGGTTCAGCTCAGTGGAATAATTGGTGCTGAGCACATACAAGGTCCTGCATCTGATCCCTAGCATCACAAAAGAAAGAAGCCACATGCTCTGAAGATCATTTCTTGCTGGGATGTAGCTTGAGGACATGTAAGGTCTTGGGTTTTATTTCCAGCATGGTGGGGGAGGGCGCTTAAGAAAAAAAGAAAATAGAACTGTTCATATATATGGAGATCTCCAGGGTAAACTGTCAGCTGAAATAAGCATGATAGAGAAAGGTCTTTGAAAGGCTGCGAGTGTGGTTCAGTGCTTGTCTGGCAGACATAAGGCCCTGGTTTCCATCCACAGAAGGGAATAGACGGGAAGGAGGGAAGGAGGAGAATCTAAAGCTTGTGGGTTTGGGAGTCAAGAACCAAGATTTGGGGAGGGGATCAGTTCTGCAGGGCAGACTCTTCTTTGGAAGAACACACAGGCGATGGGGGCTCCTGCTGCTCTGCATGAGCCCAGGAGCCCCGTGGGAGGGGTTTTCTCAGTCCCTGGGGTGTGCTTTGACGGTTGAACCCTGCTAAACAGGACTGAACACGCAAAAGCTTCCAGCAGGTGTGGTGCCCTCTCCTCCTGCTCAGCAAGGGTTGTAACTTTCACCAGTCCTATCAAAAGCCAGTCAGCGAACAGGTCTGCCTGTCGTACACACTGCCTTCCCAACATCCCTATGCAAGAGACTGAGGGACTGTGTCCCCGCTTTGCAGATGGGGAGCTGTGGCCCGACAACAGAGAGGGGGAATGTGGGTTAAGGAGCCTTCAGCGTTGGCTGTTTCCCCTTCACCCGCAGGCAAGATCCTGGTTCACTGCGCCATGGGCCGAAGCCGGTCAGCAACCCTGGTCCTGGCCTATCTGATGATTCACAAGAACATGACCTTGGTGGACGCCATCCAACAAGTGGCTAAGAACCGCTGCGTCCTGCCCAACCGGGGCTTCCTGAAGCAGCTCCGAGAGCTGGACAAACAGCTGGTGAAGCTGCGGCGACAGGCTGGGCCGGGGGACTGCGAGCCGGGGCCGGGGCGGTAAGGGAGCCTCCCCAGGGCAGGGAGGATGAGAGGTCCTGGCTGATGGGTGTCTGCATGGAGGTTAAGGTTTTGTTGGTCCTGGAGACGGGACAGTGAACTAGAGGCTGGGCACCGGGAGGATGCCCAAGTGGGTCCTCCAAGTCTAGTTCCCCACCTCACGGGGGACTGGGCCAGGTCAGTTGTAGGGGGAGCTGGGTTCAGATGAGGACCACTCTGTGGTCTCCTGTCCTTTAAGTTGGAAATGGAGAGGGTGTTTTTGTTGTTGTTGGTTTTTTTTTTAATGTGTGGGCACTGTGTTGTGATTAAATGTCTGGCTCTGAAAGAAAAAGAAATCACATTCTTATAAAAAAATAAAAAACTTAAAATAGAACTTGATTTTTTTAACCACAGAAAATTGCCTGACAAGCTGTATTACAAGACAGGCTTTACCACTTTGGAGGAAGCCTCAGAGTAACCATGTCTCTTTATCCATGGTGGTGTGTGTGTGTGTGTGTGTGTGTGTGTGTGTGTAAAAGGGGTGGCATGGAGTCACTTCCTTATATCACAGCCAGAGCTGTCACCACCCAAATGAGTTGTGGCAAATTTGGGCAAGGAAGAATGTAACTTCACAATATGGGAGAAAGAGAGGCAGGAGACAATTTTAGGGGGCCAGAATGCCTCTTTCCTTTTAGTCTAGAAAGGGCAGACTGATGGCTGGGTTTTTAGTCACACCCTGAAGGACCGGAGGACAGGGCAGCCAGGTGAGCTCAGGTGTGAGCTGGTCTCTCTCTCTCTCTCTCTCTCTCTCTCTCTCTCTCTCTCTCTCTCTCTCTCTCTCTCTCTCTCTCTCTGCCTCTCTCTCTCTCTCTCTATTTTTAAATTTAAATTTAAATTAGAAACAAGGTTGCTTCACAAGTCAGTTCCAGATCCCGCTCCGTTTCCCTCCCCTCCTCCCGTGCCCTCCCCCAAGAGCTGGTCTCTCTTAAGTTACCACCATGATGGTCATTCTTCATTCAAGAAAACAGCAGCAGCTTGACAGAGTGGTGGCTTCCAGAACCAGGAGCCCTGAAAAATGGAAGCTAGAGTGAGGCTAGAGTAGGAGGCCAGCTCTACAGAGAGCCTAGAGAGCCCACTGGGGAAGGAGGGGAAGGGACTCATGCTTCCAGTGTGATCTAGAAACTCCAGGAGGATCTTGCAGGAGTGCTGGAGTCCAAGGGTAATACCAAGTCACTGTGACATCTCGGGGAGCTGTTTCGCTTTTATGCCACTTGTAGTTTGGGATCTTGTGCTTAGACTGGTCTCCTGGGCCTTTCCTAAGAATATTCTGGACATCACCTTTGTCCAGGAGGAGGCTGGGTCCTCAACTTATGCATGGGAGGAGATTCCCTGGAGACTCCTTTGCTGTTACAATATTGTTCTCATAATGAAAAACCAAAACACTGCTGAGAAGTTGAAACCAACCACACACGCGTAGTCATCTGGTCTCGTCAGGCAGCGAGATCAAAGTGGAGACTGTGAAGCTGAGATGATTGACGGGACACAACCGTGGTTGCAAGGGGAAAAACACTGGATGGCGCAACTGTGGAGGATGGACACAGATTTGCTGTTCTGGGAGCCACGGGAGAGCTGGGGTCAGAGTAGTTCCCTACTTGGGCTTTTCATCTGAGCATCCTGATAGCCCCTCTGAACTCAGTTCTCTCTGTTAGACTTTTCTATTCAGTGTCCGGACAAGACAGTGTTTCCATTTTCATGATGTACTTGCACTAAGTGAACTCACATGTAGGACAGGTAGAACACAGATTCCACTGAGGAGGTTTTCTGGAGCCACTGACCCTGCACCTCCCTCCACACCCCACCTCTTCGTGGAGTGGAATCCTGTTGAAGCAGAGGACCTAATGTTCCGTGCCTGGTCTCTTCCTGGTGACTCCTGGAACTTAGAGGTAAGAGAAAGGAGGAACAGAAATGTTACCAACAGTGCTCAAAGACTTCATAAGCAATGCTTTCACTTAGCACATCCCCAAAACTAGCTTAAGAGGCCAAAGGCAAGTTAAAAATGCAGACCGTACTAACATGCAATGTGAGACACAGGAGCTGAGGTAAGGGGGGGGGGGGGAGAAGCCTGCTCTAGACAAGTTAGTGTGGTGTTGGGGAAGAATATGCTTCCAATTGTGCAATTTGAAACAAACAGAAAGTAACCAGGCAGGGCTATTTCTTATCACAAAAAAAAAGGTGTGCCTGAACCCAGGCAGTGTCACAAGCAGCACAGATGGCCAGGATGGACTCCACCTTTTATCCTTAATGCAAGGGAGAGCTTGTCTTTCTCGTTGGCCGAGGCTCAACCTCAGTCTACCCTGCACTGGCGGTGGGAAGGAAATGTAGGGCAGCGGAAAATGGTCGATGGAATGTAGCTGGGCTTCCAAGTTTTACAGGGCAGGCGAGATGAGAAGATTTGAGTAAAGGTTTTACAAGGTGGGGGTAACCTAGGGAATATTGGCTGCTGGTGGGCTAGCCACCTTTGATAGAAAAAACTCATAGAAACCTTGGTTGGATGGAGGATCTTAAGACAGCAGCTCACTGTGTAGTCCAGGCTGGTTTTGAATTCATAACCTAAGGTGGTAGTTGGTTCAGTGGTTAAGAGCACCCAAGTTTGATTCCCAGCACACACATGGTAGTTCACAACTGTAACTCCAGTTCCAGGGCATCTGATGTCTCTTCTGGCCTCCTTCTGCACATACATACAGTGCAGGAAAAAACAGAAGGATTTGGAATCTCACGGAGGACCAGGGGAGCTTGCCCCTGGAGTGAATGTTCCAAAGCAGAAGATTCTAGAATTTTGACCTGGAATGATGACTGGAGGGAAAATAAAATTCTGGGAGTCTTCTGTAAGGCAGTAGAGCTTGGTCACCACACCGAATGAGATGAAGAGGAAGAGAAGACGCAGCCTGGTCCAGGGCCTGCAGACAGTTCCGGTTGGGAGTTAGAGGCAGGAGAGCACCTCAGAAAGCAATGGCAGGAACCTGCTCCTTGGCCCGAAGCTTAGGGCTAGGCAAGGCTTGCTTCCTATAAAGGAACCTGCATGGACAGAGCAGACTTCACAGCTCATTAGCTAGCTGAGCCTTCCAATCAAGAGAGATGACATTTCAGACTATTGCTGAGAACTGATTGAGCCATCTGGGTATACTGTCACTTAAAATGCTGATTTGGGGGCAATTTACTTTTTGTTTCTTTTACCTCCTGATCTATGGATGTGGGTTATGTGGACGGACTGTTGATAAAAGTTTTTGAGTCATATTTCTAACAATGTGTTGGCAGGCAGGGCCTGTATAGCTGGGCAGACACCATCTGAATCAGTTCAGTGAAGTTGGCATCAGATGACCACTTTTACAAGGGAGAGAACAGACCGTTAGATGTGAGCTACGAGCAGATACAGCCTAAGAGCTATGGATCTAAGCCATATCCCAGGATCCATGGGGTTACATTTCCAGTAAGGCCTGGTGCTCTAAGTGGACTTGGCCGGACAGTTCTTTTCCGACACAGCCTTAGGATATTTGGACTCTGGACCAGTGATGCGCCCCCCCCGCTGTTCTGACACGTGGAACTCATGGGTGTGGAACAACAATCAGGAGCTGATCCACAAAGCTCCCTTGGACTGTGGCTGTGATGCAAGGGGTGGAGCACTAGGACCCAGACTCCCCACAGCCCAAAGGTGTGATTAACAGGCAAAGGTCATAGGGAAAGGGGGCGGGGTGTCTCAGCCCCCAGGCACTAAATTAGCACATGAAAGTCAAGGAGGGAGTCTCTGTGGAGTTCCTAGACAGTGACAACAGCTTCCTGCCAGATGTGTGGTCCACTGCCCTGCTGGGACCCCCAGCCACTCCCAACCGGCTCCAGTGATTGGTTCAAATAAACTACACACAATCAGAATACAGACAGCATGTTTTCTTTCCCACAAATTACATTCTGCTGTCCCTTTGCTACACCAGCCTTGAGGGGCGGCCTTGGAACCCCCATCTACTCTGACATCATCACAAGGGCAGAAGACTCAAAGGCTAACTCCACCACAGGAACACTGGAAGCAAGCACCGGTGAGCCGGAAGCCAGCCGCCAGCAGGTGGCCTTTGTTCTGGCACTATGGACGACCTGCACCTGGCAAATTATGGTTTGTGTCAGTGACCTGAAGAGTTGTGAGTTCCTGTGCAGCAGATACCTTGAGTCACACACTGGTGCCAAGCCCAGCATTCATTTTAAATTTGTTGCTTAAGCAATCAAATATTTTAACTCACAGTCAAAACTTTGTCCAAATGCCATGAAACGTCTATAAACATTTACTTTGGGGTGTGTGTGATAAACTATAAACACTAAAGGAAACATACAGCCATTCACAATTAAGTGAAACTTTCACACTTTTTTTTCTTTTTAAAGAAATGAATCTTGAAATACACCGCCTCCAATTGGGTGTTTGTGATAGCAATTAAAAAAAAAAAAAGATCACTAGTGTGGTACCAGGCCCTCAGGGGTTTCTACAGATGGTACAAAAGAGGCAACTGGATATCCTTGTGGGAGCTTTGGGCAAATGAAGATCAAAGTCAAAAGAAAAAACCAAACTCACTTTATTGTAAAGACAATGATTGGCATACAGAAGGTATGCACCAGCATAAAGAAAACTTTCATGAAAAGCATTAAAATCCATTATAAATTAATTTATTAAATAGGTATTTGGTATATGTGATGGATTTATTAGATATTACTCTTATTTATTGCCAACCCCTTCCCCCCCAAAGTCAAAACAAATCAGAAAAATCTCATAACTCCAATGTACACTAAATAATTTACTTCCCCAGATGTGTACGTGTTCTGAGATGACACACGATAACAGTTCAGCTGGCCATTCTCCATCAGTCGTAATATGACAGGACACAAGAGGCTAAATGGCTCATCATAATTTATTTTATGTTAAAACGTACAGCTTTTTTTGTTCTTTTCCTTTCTTTTTTGAAGTAACTGACTGAAAAGAGAACAGATAAATACGAGAGTGCTGCTGGCTCCTATTTTATACAAGGTCGTGCCTCCGCCTGGGCCTCACTGTCACCTGTGTAGGTACAAAGGCTACAAAAAGAAGCAATATAAACAGACACAAATAACTTTTCTGCTTTTTTACATGCGATTTGTAAGCTTAGTTTGAGCTATTCACAAGCTACTTTTCTATTTTTCCTTAAAAAATAACTCCAATATTTTATAAAGATAGAAAAATCTACAGATGGAATGAAAATGTAAAGTTAGAGGCATTTCCATAAAATAGCAACTTTACACCAAATTCACTATTTTTTTAAATCCTGCCAAGTATTTGGACATATATGAAATGCTTCAAACCCTGACAGCTAAACACTGAGA